CCCCAAACATGGTATTTACATAATCACCCATAGTTCTTTCCACCCTGTTAACTCCTCAGGTAGGGCTCATCCAAAGGCACTCTCAAGACTCCATGTCATTCATGGTATTAAACTATTTCCCTCTTAATGTAAAAGTTGTGTTGACACTAATTCTATGCTCTCGGGTTAATTAAATGGGCAATATGGAATTAATGGAACTTTAACACTATACAAGTCTCTCTCAGAATCCAAGTCAGCCCCAAAACATTACTGCTATAGGGAACTTTCAACTCCATGGCCATCCATATTTATTAGAACCCACAAAATGGACTAATTACTTGTTCCATACTCTCAGGTGGATAAGCCTATTTCTCCATTATTTAAATTTATTGGGCATACTGGAATTAGGAGACATTAACATAACAAGTCTCTCTCAGTATCCCAAGTACAGTCCCCAGCACATTACTGCCATTAATTCATAACCCCTTCACATATCCTCATTAGTTCCTCTTCAGTGTGACGTCACACCGGAAATTGTCCACATAAGATTATTTACCCAATTACTTCACTCAGTGGACCATCTGTGCACTTAAGTGTGCATTTATCGTCGCCTGACGTAGAACAATTTGATTATTTTAACTATTTTAATATTATATCATTATATAGCAGACACCAATTTTGGTGTCTAGCTCAGTATCGCAAGCTGGGCCCTTTAACGTTCCATATGCCATCCTATAATTAGTAGGAAATTCCTGGACCGGTCCGAGCTTCCACGGAAGTCGCACCCAGTTAATGTCCATATTCACATTTTAACATCCTTCAGTATTGTTCCCTAGTAAAGGAATCATTTGGACATTCCTCATTTAATTAATCCCTAGCCATGTCCACTCCCCACAAAATTAGACTGTTTCAACATCATTCTCGTAGAAAGAATACTTGTACTGGTTGACCTTTTATGGGGCAAGACACCGAGACTGTATTCACTACCTCCTCTAGTCATTATTACTAGGCGGTAGATAGAGCCCATATATTACATGTGGCCCGTACCAGTGTGAGGAGATGACGCCGCATGCTTTTGGTATTTATGCCCTTTATCCTGAATTCTTACATCCAACACCGCAAAGGCACACTCAGCTAGGCCATCATATTGCCCATTAGCTGCAACCTTTACATCAGTCACTGTAGTGTCAGGTTATTAACATTACATTACTGTCACCATTATTATAAGAATCATACATACAACCCTGCAACATAAACTGTATGGTCCTTCTCTTGTTTCATTGATCGCAAATATTCAATTTGGTATTACAATCTTTACATTATGAATGTCTAGACTCTGATAAATCTGTCAAGTTCTTTCAATCTTACCACTTTAATATCCAAGTAAATTATAGGCATTACAATTTTTAGTGAAATGAGTACCCTTGGCAGAATAGACAGTCTCTCCTTTCCCCTCCGTGACTTCTTATTAACAGGTTACCCTTACGCGTACTTTATCCTCATACCTTTATTTGAGGAAACCAACATTACTGATTCCCTGTCACTTGAATATGTGCCTATTTAACACTTAACTATGAATATTACCACGGATTAATTTATTCCCCTTTTGAGGAGGACTTGACAGTATACCTCAGAGTCATTATGTGTTAAATCCAAAAACTGTTTTGGCTGACTGGTCTGCCAATTGAACAATATTAATTCCTGCCGACCAGCCAGATATTCATCAGACGTACCAGGAGGTTTTGGCAAAACCACCCTTTGCATTAATAATGTTGAACCAATGCCCTGGCATACACCCATTAATTTATTTCCAAGCCTACTTTTACAAGACAGGTTTCATCTCAAATTCGTAATGAGAATAATTAAAACATTCATTTTCCATTCCATCATTGCACATTTCTCCAACAGATCCACTTCACAGTCTTTAAACCACAATTGTACCAATCAAGTCTACTCTCTAAAGCATCTAAAAATAAGTTTAATTATTAGGGATTCACGGTCTTGATTCAATTAAATCACAAGCCTTCCTGTCACATGGTCCTTTAATAGCCAGTAATGATGCGTTCATTACTCAAAAATCCACGACTATAGTCCAGCCACATTAACTCCATCAACCAGTCATAGGTTATGAGATTATTATCCCCTGATTATACAACATTAATGTAGCACCTTATAAGAGTAATTCTTGCACTTTACATCTTGTATAAATCCTAGCCACACATGTGTTAGCATTACTTGGGCAAAATATCACCAACACACGATCGATTAAACTATGTGTACCCTATACCCACTTCCTTCACTCAGTCACTTAAAAATTTAAAGTAATTAATTCAATTTAATTTTTATCACGTGATATGCAACCGTTTGAAGGACCAGCGGCAGATAGAGGAAAATTATATAGGGTGAATACCTTTATGTAGACCTCACATTATATACATACAAGACTCTCATGTGGAGACAACCATATTGTTTACCGTAGTTCACCCCGTGTAAGACCTGTGAGGAAAACTTAACCACCTCTGGTCACGGCAGGTGGTTCCTTCGACCTCACAATCTTATCCACACTATCCGAAGACCAGTATAGATTGGATATCAATCCACAAGTAGAGGTGCACTAATTAAATTGTGGACTGTATAGATGAATAGTTGTAACTGAATAGACGGGGGGGGGGGGTAGTTCCACATGGTTATATCCATCAAGGAAAACACTTGTACAAAATCACTCCACTTAACAGAATTATTCACTGGAGACCTTGATGTAGCTTGGATCACCCATAACCCATCCAATTACAACATACCTACTGGCCATTATCAGTCTGTTATAACTAGAAAGGTTTACTTAACTGTGGGTGATTGATACTCCTTATTTCCTCCATTCACCATCCCCTCATTTTGGGGGGGCGTGTGATGTCCTGCTACACCGACACGGTACTTAATCCAGCATGACAGGAATCCTTTGGTCTGTACCCGGTTTTAGAAGTCTTGACTCAATGAACTCACTATCCTCGATACGAGAATCACGCGTTCACTACGGAGCAGGGCGATCTAATTCACAACCCCGCATTCTCTTAACATAATGATATTATCACTGATTACATTTACCATTCACAAGACGATTTAACGTCTCATAATTTATTATACACATTAGATGTTCAGCTCCATTAAGATCTGAGGCCGATGAGTGAGGATTAAGCTCAGGGTATTATCCCCATGTAAACACCATAGCCGCGCACCAGTCAACACCCGTGTCGAACCATTATTCACTATTATTACCACCTTATAAAGTGGTCCTGAGAATCACGTTCCCTCACTCTCCACCAGGAACAGTTATGGAACACATCCTAATTATAAAGAGGCCTATATATCCTTAAGGCCGCCGTGAACGCCAATTTTTCCTTGGTACCATGCTTCCCAGACTCCTACACGTACACTTCAAAACACTGCGCCTGCCTCCCCGTGCCCCAGTTCGACCTCTCCCCCCGCACATCAGCGCATGCGCAAAGGGAACTCTTGGTTCTATCCTATTGTCAAATACATTTTTGACTCATATCGACACATTAAACACCTATTAGGCGCTATAGCTTCGGAAAATCAAAAAAAATTTCCACAATTATCATTTAATTATGCTTTAATATGGAATTAAATTTTATTATGTACTTGATTACTTTATTTCAAGTGTAGTTTTATGGATTCCTTCAAATCTATATAATAAAAGTTTTGGATGATCATTTTTTTTTCATATGTATGTCGTGCCGAATAAGCCAAACCCGAGAGTTAGGCCTAAATGGCAAGAGTACAACACCTAGCTCTGTTGGGTGCGTGATTCTTGTAGGATTGTAAGGTCCCGTGGGTTAGTGTCGTGAATTTTCGCTCACCATGAGGCGTGCTAAAACACATAGGTTCGAGATCCCCCGGCAAGCCGCAGGAGTTACTGAAAATTTATATTATATATATAGATATAGTAATCATCTTTTTCAACCACACCGGCCGTATCCCACCGAGCTGGTGGCCCAAAAGGAAAAGAAAGATTTCTCCTTTTTAACCTTTAGTTATTATATAACAGAGAATTAGTTATACTAGCCACTGCTCCCAGCAATTATAGTCGCCCTCCTAACCAACACGCATGGCTTACGGAAGAAAAATTCCTGTTTTCCACTTCCCCATGGAGGAAATAGAAAAATAAACAAGAGCAAGAACACAGAAGAAAACCCAAGAGGGTGTGTATATATATGCTAGTACAATGTGTGTGAAGTTGACCTAAGTGTTAAGTATAATAGCAGCCTACCTGAAACTTGCATGTTAATGCGACAAAAAATGGACACAAGAAATCCCAACCATCATGTAAAACAATACAGGGCCTTTCGTTTTACACTCACTAGGCAGGACTGTAGTACTTCACCAGGGTGGTTTGCTGTTACCAACCTACTACCTAATATATATATATATATTTATATAAATATATATATATATATAAATATATAATATATATATAGTAGTGATAGGTATATATATATATATATATAAATAAATAAATATATTATTTCTTAATAACACACAGGGCCGATCCCACCAAGGCAGGGTGGCCCGATAAAAGAAAACCATTCCCCACATTCACTCCATCACTGTGACATTGCCATAATGGTGGCTTTACACTATATTATTTTAACTGCAACAATAATACCACCTCTAGAACAGTCCTAGGGACCCTCAACCTCAAGAAAAGAAATAAACATGCTTCAGGAAAACTCAAGGTTCACCCTGAGCTGTTTGCGAATTATCTACTACCACCCCCTATATTTAGTAGATATATATTTAATTTAAAGAGCAAAATACACATGACAAAACATTCACAAAGAAACAGTGGAAAGTAAATCAACATAGTGTACCTCAGAGCTACATCTCGAATACTTCGTCCACTCCCTGCGGTGGGCCGCATGCCCAGAAATGCCTGCAGGCATTTCCTCTCTGGATCGCAACACTGAGTCTCTGAAGAGGAAGCTTGTAGCCCTGTGGTCCTTGGATCAAAGGATGAGCTTTTTCACCCCAGCTCTTTGAGTGAACATTATAGCACACTTGCCCTTGCACCAAGGGTCATCTGCACCCTGTTGGTATGAAGCTATAAGAAGGGTGAAGGTCTTCATATTTGCGGATCTCTTGAGACTCCCTGTGGCTGCAGCATCCATCCCCTTCAGCTGTGGAGTATTGCAAAGTAGGTGTCTGCATGTGGCGGACAGGGTAGTCCCAGGCAATCTGCTTTCCATCCTTCCAAGGTAGCATAGTGGCTCCATCAGGACGCTTTTGACTTCCGTCAGTCTCTGTACGGGGGGTTTTCCCGTTGAGCTGGGCAACGGGCTGTGGCGAGGCTTCTTTTTTATGATGTCATTCACCTCCTCATGTCTGGCATACTTCCCCTCTGCTGTGTGACACACGAGACCATGAAGTCCGAATTAAATCCGCTGTCGCCCTGCCCCCAAATACACCTATGTTCGGTGAGGATGGGGGTGGCTGGGTGAAGAGCAACACCAATCCGAATGGCCTGTGGGTCTAGAAATTTATATATAAAATATATATAAATTATAATTATATATATATATATATATATATATATATATATATTTTAATATATATTTTAAATATAAAAAAATATATATGAAATACGCTCAAAGTAAACAGGTGATTTCAGAATATGCAAAACAACCAAACTGTGAAAGAATAGAGAAGTTCCAAGCGCTTTCGTGACTACCACATTTCACACTGTTCCTTGATAATGTGAGTAGTCACAAAGGCGCTTGGAACTTCTCTATCTTCACAGTGGTTGTTTTGCATATATAAAAATATATATTTTATTTTTATTTATATATATATATAAAATATATATTATATATATATAAATATAATTTATTATTATACCACACTGGCCGATTCCACCAAGGCAGGGTGGCCCGAAAAGAAAAACTTTCACCATCATTCACTCCACACTGTCTTGCCAGAAGGGTGCTTTAAAACTACAGTTTTTAAACTGCAACATTAACACCCCTCCTTCAGAGTGCAGGCACTGTACTTCCCATCTCCAGGACTCATCCGGCCTGCCGTTTCCCTGAACCCCTTCATAAATGTTACTTTGCTCACACTCCAACAGCACGTCAAGTATTAAAACCATTTGTCTCCATTCACTCTATCAAACACGCTCACGCATGCCTGCTGGAAAATCCAAGGGCCCCCCGCACACAAAACCTCCTTTACCCCCCCCCTCCAACCTTTCCTAGGCCGACCCTACCCCGCCTTCCTTCCACTACAGACTGATACACTCTTGAAGTTTATTCTGTTTCGCTCCATTCTCTCTACATGTCCGAACCACCTCAACAACCCTTCCTCAGCCCTGTGGACAACAGTTTTGTAATCCGCACCTCCTCCTAACTTCCAAACTACGAATTTTTTGCATTATATTTACACCACACATTGCCCCCAGACATGACATCTCCATGCCTCCAGCCTTCTCCTCGCTGCAACATTCATCACCATGCTTCCCCCCATATAGAGCTTGGAAAACTATACTCTCATTCATTCCCCTCTTTGCCTCCAAGGACAAAGTTCTTTGTCTCCACAGACTCCCAAGTGCAACCACTCACCCTTTTCCCCAATCAGTTCTGTGATTCACCTCATCTTTCATAGACCCATCCGCTGACACGTCCACTCCCAAATATCTGAATACATTCACCTCCTCCATACTCTCTCCCTACAATCTGATATCCAATCTTTCATCCCCAAATTTTTTTTTTATCCTCAAAACCCTTTACTCTTTCTGTATTCATTTTTTAAATTTTCTTCTTTTGACCCAACCAATTATCCACCAATCTCTGCAACTTCCTTCAAATCCCCAAAGCACAGTGTCTCAAAAAAGAGCAACGTGAGAACTCCCATTTTATGTTGATTCTTTATCTTTAACTCCACCCCTTTTCCAAGACCCTCGCATTTACTTCTCTTACCCCCCATCTATAAATATTTTAAACAACTACGGTGACATCACAACCTTGCCTAAGGCCTATTTTACTGGGAAAAAATTTTCCCCTTTTTCCTAATACTCTAATTTGAGCCTCACTACCCTCGAAATCTTCACTGCTTTCAGTAACCTACCTCCTACACCAACACCTGCAACATCTCCCACATTCCCCCCCTATCCCCCCCGTCATACGCCTTTTCGAAAACCATAAATGCCACAAAGACCTCTTTACCTTATCTAAAACTGTTCCTTTTGTTTCACTGAAATACTGGGCCACCACCCCCTACCTTTTTCCCAAAGCCTCCTTTTTTCATTGATTCCTATTCTCCTCTTACTCTTAATTCTTTTAATAAAACCTAATACACTTTACCAGAAAACTCAACAAACTATCCCCCTAATTTTTGACTCCTTTTTTCCCCTTGCCCTTTTTACAAAGGAATATGCATGCTCTCTGCCAATCCCTAGGACCTTACCTTCTTCAAAAACATTTATTAAATAATTGCACCAACCACTCCAAAACTAATCCCCCCGCTTTTACATTTCTATCTTTATCCCCTCAATCCCGGCCAATATTATAATATAATATATATTATATATTATATATAAAATATATAATATATAATAATAAATAAAAATATAATGAGAGAGAAGAAAGATTTTAAAAAAGGGGTTTTACGCAGAATTAAGTTACGAAATGATCAGGAAGGGACATTTGGGTACATTGTCAATTTTAGTCCCCAAACCTCCAAAGTAAAACTTTATCCAGTTATTTGAACTCGACCTTTAGGGGAAAACATCGTCTGATAGTTGATAATTAACACATGTGCAAAATCTTTGGGGACTTTATTTAGGGAAAAGTTTCGCAAGTGGCTTCATAGTCCATACATAGGAAAACTTGAAGAACAAGGAGGGAAAGGTAATCGCCTCAACCTGAGTCGATTGTTCAGTCCCAAAATTTAGTAGAATACGGCAGATGAGCGGGGAAGCACTTTTAAACCTATGGCAGGGAAGGTGCGCAGTCAAAGTTGCACTGTTCTAATTTTCAACATTCGGTTCTTGAACCCTTCCTACAAAATCTTTTTTAAACTTTGCTCACTATTACGCTCACTTTTCACCTCGGTGGGCTCGTTGCCCAAGCAGCAACAGCAGCATAAAAAAAAAACCCTCCCCCCCCCGGGATTGAAAAACCCTTATTACGTTTCTTAAGTAACACGCAGCATACCTCGAGTCCTGCAGTGCAAGCATTGTCTTCATGGCCTTGATTTGTTGGAAGTGTGACGACATGTCGGTGGCCAAGACCATTTCGATGACCAGGCTGCGAAACTCTCGGTATTCCTCCCGAGACAAGTTAACCAGCACGTTATGCTCCTCCGCACGCAGTAATCTGGGGAGAAACAGTGTTCAGTTTTAGTTTAATAGCATTATTATGCACCTCATGGCCATCTCTCACTTATTATGCACCTCATGGCCATCTCTCACTGTTATTATGCACCTCATGGCCATCCTCTCACTGTTATTATGCACCTCATGGCCATCTCTCACTGTTTTTATTATGCCCCCTCATGGCTATCTCTCACTGTTATTATGCACCTCATGGCCATCTCTCACTGTTATTATGCACCTCATGGCCATCTCTCACTGTTATTATGCACCTCATGGCCATCTCTCACTGTTATTATGCACCTCATGGCCATCTCTCACTGTTATTATGCACCTCATGGCCATCTCTCACTGTTATTATGCACCTCATGGCCATCTCTCACTGTTATTATGCACCTCATGGCCATCTCTCCTTTATTATGCACCTCATGGCCATCTCTCCTTATTATGCCCTCATGGCATCTCTCACTGTTATTATGCACCTCATGGCCATCTCTCACTGTTATTATGCACCTCATGGCCATCTCTCACTGTTATTATGCACCTCATGGCCATCTCTCACTTATTATGCACCTCATGGCCATCTCTCACTTATTATGCACCTCATGGCCATCTCTCACTGTTATTATGCACCTCATGGCCATCTCTCACTGTTATTATGCACCTCATGGCCATCTCTCACTTATTATGCACCTCATGGCCATCTCTCACTGTTATTATGCACCTCATGGCCATCTCTCACTGTTATTATGCACCTCATGGCCATCTCTCACTGTTATGCACCTCATGGCCATCTCTCACTGTTATTATGCACCTCATGGCCATCTCTCACTGGTTATTATGCACCTCATGGCCAATCTCTCACTTATTATGCAAACCCCATGGCCATCTCTCATTGTTATTATGCACCTCATGGCATCTCTCACTGTTTATTTCCCCATTGCCATCTCTCACTGTTATGCACCTCATGGCCATCTCTCACTGTTATTATGCACCTCATGGCCATCTCTCACTGTTATTATGCACCTTATGGCCATCTCTCACTGTTATTATGCACCTCATGGCCATCTCTCACTGTTATTATGCACCTCATGGCCATCTCTCACGCTATTTCTAATTAATTATAAACCAACAATTATTATAGTACTGATGCACATGAGACCTTTTAAAAACATCCATATGTACACTCCATATGTACATCCATATGTACACTCCATATGTACATCCATATGTACACTCAGCATTGCCAATGTTTTTAAATTTAGTTGAGTGGTAATCAAAAGGTTTCAGAGGATCTGGAAGTTTTGGTAGTTGCAGTGGTTATGAATTATTTACAAATTTATGGTCTGTGTGTGGGGAGGGGGAGGGGAACTAAGTCTTTTGAGACAAGAAACTTAGATTAACCAGTCAGTAATATATACACATGTGTGTGTTAGTTTATCTAAGTTCAGAGTTTCTTTAATCCCTGTTTACCCAAAAATCCAATAATAATAATAATAATAAATAAATATACCTGAAGGCAGCACAGATGTGATGATTCTCAAGAACTGCACGATCGTTATAAAGAATGGCTGTCTCGGAGCCAGACATGACGTGGAAGTTGTTGGTGGTGCCAGTATGTTCATAGTCATGGATGAGTGCTGCCATTAACGTCGCCAGGATCTCCACATCGTTCAGCCAGTTCTGGAAAGCGGCAAACGCTTATTCAGAATGGAAGAAATAGTACTTTAACCTGTTACTGCAAATGTGAAGGACTGCCACAGTGAAAAGAAGAAGGAACAGAAATGTTTGATCGCTCTCTGGTGCTTCCAGGCACATCATCAGAGGAAACATTACGTATTCCACTGAAAATAGAGAGTGACCTGCAGACATTTTTTACTATATAAGTTTTGTAACTGATAAGGTATTACTTGCAGAGATTAAACAAAACATGTATTTTATATATATATATATATATATATATATATATATATATATATTATATATATATATATATATATATATATATATGTGTGTGTGTGTGTAGATGAATGGTTCAGAGAACCGACATGTTGATAAATTAGACACATGTGCAACTCTTGGGTATCTTTATTGAGGAAACGTTTCGCCACACAGTGGCTTCATCAGTCCATACATAGAAGAAACTTGAAGAACAGGAGGAGAATGAAGTAATCAGTCCCTCAACCTTGAGTCGATGTGGTCAGTCCATCAATCTTGAGTAGAATACGGCAGATGAGCGGAGAAGCAGCTTATAAACCGTATGGCAGGAGAGGTGCAGCAGTCATAGGTGGTGTCACATTTGTTCAATGTGGAAGTAGGTCGTGCCCAAGAATTGATGGACTGACCACATCGACTCAAGGTTGAGGGACTGATTACCTCATTCTCCTCCTGTTCTTCAAGTTTCTCCTATGTATGGACTGATGAAGCCACTGTGTGGCGAAACGTTTCCTCAATAAAGATACCCAAGAGTTGCACATGTGTCTAATTTAACAACATGTCGGTTCTCTGAACCATTCATCTACACACACACACACACACACACAATATATATAAAATATATAATATATATATATATAAATATATAATATATATATATATATATATATATATATATATATATATATATATATATTGGTATGTATTATATGATATAAAATAGTTATCTACATCTGTACATCTAAAATTTCAATTAACATGATATAAAATTCACATTTAAAACAATCCTTCACGTGGAAGGGGGAGGAGGCCTTGTGGCGGGGAAAGGCTTTTGATCCTAAAAACTAGAGCTACCTACCTATTCATCCTACCTATTCATCCCATTTCCCAGGCGTTATATTATCTACGAGTTTAATGATAATTGCAACTGATACGGTTTCATAATAACCATTATTATTATTATATTATTATTATTATTATTATTATTATTATTATTATTATTATTAAGGAAGTTGGACAGTTTACCATGAGACCCGTCTGGGAGAGCATGTAGTGCATGGTTTGGAGAACATCAGCAGCGTGGATGTTGTTGTGGTAAGGGTTCTTGTACTTGCAGTATCCGCTCTCCACTTGCGTCAAGAACGTCTCCAGGGTGGCCGGAGGCATCTGTGAGATCGTAGGCATGTTAAGCACCACACAGTACGATACTGTGGCCAAGTCTTCCAAGAGTACCTCTCAAGTACCATGAAGTATGTGGCACGGCACTGTCAACATTGTCATCACAATTTTTTTTTTTTTTTTGGGGGGGGGTAATTCCCTTCAAGGTGGAAGGCCTCGTTGCTAATAATGGGCTTTTGACACTCAGAAAAAGAGATATTCCCAACTCCTTTCGATCAACCTATAACCTACGGGATGAGCGTCTCTGAGTGACTAATATTGATTTTACTGACAATATACCCAAAATATCTGGAGGGAAATAAAGCACATTGAGTAAATCCGAAAAAGAATGAGGATGCAGGAAAATTTATGTAATTTAATGCTTTATGTAATTTATGACGTAATTTTTGATAAGTAAGACACTTGTACAACGCTTGGAAATCTTTGTTCATTATTTATCGTCGTGTCGGTTTTCTAAAGCATTTATTCATGACGTAATTTTTATTAAGGAAATAAAGAATGGGATATCATTTATCAGTTGATAAATGATATCCCAGGAGATTAACAGAGCCATTTAAAATTTTATTCCAAAATTTGTGCATATAAACTACTTTTTTTGGTTTTGTAATTAGCCCAAGCCATGCCATATATTTTTACTAATTCACTTATGTTGAAATTAAATTTATAGTAAAATAAAATGGCAAATACACAATAAATACTAGTGACCCAAAGAAGAAAACACATTAACCATGACTCGTTCAATAGTCTTTCCAAATTATGCAGACATCATAATTTAAATGACCCTCCAAAGTACCTGGGTAAATGACATATATAAAAAAGGCAGGATTCGTTTTACTCAACCCTTACCTTGAATTTGTGTAAAAGGCCATAGCGGTTCAATAACTCGTATGCCAGGCAGCGGAGGGGAGTATTGTTGCTCGCCTCCTGCAGCCTCCACACATCGAAGCTCCAATCATCCACACTCTGACGGGAAATACCAACACAAAAGAATGTCACTTGAAAGGTGAGAAGCCACTCACCTGAGCCG